CTAATTTCCTTGACAATACTTCTAAAGTAAAATCAGAGTGTGAATGGGGATTTTAGAGCACTTCAAAATATCCGCTCTTAAGCATAAACTTTGGTCTCCGGGCAAAAGGCTTGAGCTGACCTGGAATTCTAAACTTAACCCTCAACTGTTTTTGAAATATTGCTTCTCTGAAGGGACAGTGAGTACTGTACCCTAGAGGAGATAAATCCTGAGTGGCTCAGATCAGTGTGCAAAGGATTAGGGTCATAGCTTGCGTGCCGGGTGTGTGCAAGTAACATTATAAGAACCAGGTGATTTTGAAAACACATAATTTTTAGGAGGGCTGTAAATCAGGAACGCTTTGCTCAAATAACCCCAAGTTTGAACCAGTAACTCTACCCCACAGTACCATGAAGCACAACAAATTTCAAGACAATCCAAGCCAGCATGTGGATTTTTAAAGCACTTAGAATAGTCATCTTTTAAACAGCAACTTTCAACTTAAAATATAATGCAGGGCCTGATTCTCCATTACTCTGTTCCTGCAATTTGTGCATGGCCAGAAGATAGTGGGGAACTCTGATGCTTTAAGCTATGGCGGGCGCTTCCCATATGCAGGATCTTTGGCACAGCCTATCTGACCTCTGAAGTAAGTTAGAGCAGCTTCAGGGATGCTTTAATTTACACCCTGAATACCTGGAGCCCTGGGAAGCAGAGAATAATTACAGAGCAGTAGACGCTGGCTATACCCACATCATGCCAACAACCAATGCTCTACACCTGGAAGTGGGAGGACAGCTAGTGTAAAATTCTTATGCCAGCTCTAAACTGGCTCGGGAGGTCCTCTTCACAGGGAACAGTCTCAGTGAGCCATTTCCACCCCACTGAGATCCCTTTACTTTGCCAGAGCAGCATAAAAGGACATTCACAAAACTGAGAAACAAGCCCCATTAGAAAGTAGGATTGCTCTAAGTTTCACTTTACTGCTGACATATAAGAAAGGAGGGTGCAAGTTCAGCAGGGAAAAGGAGCTCCTATTAAAGGCATGTACGATACTTAAAATTTAATTAATTTCTTATTAAAAAGTAGAAATCCTCAAACAGAAAGATGCTCAAGTTTCATTGCAAAATAATGCTTTTCCTGGGCAAAATGGAATTAGCTTCCTCACTGAACACAGAATCAAATTAAAAGATTTAGTGCTGATACTCAGAGCTCTGAACAGTGCTGACCCAAGCTACTTGGGCGACTGCTTCTCTACATGACCCCTGGCTGCCCACAACACCTGGAGTTTCTCTGGAACAATGAAACTATGATCTTGTGAATGTGGGAGAGACAGATGTGTCAGCAACCAGCCCCATGTCTAGATCACTCACTTCTGCGTCAGAACACCACCGTTAACTTCCCCACTTGCACATGCAAAACTCGTTTCTTCAACTCAGCTGAGAGACTCCCAGCCCTTATCTACACAAGGGGGGGAAGCGATCTAAGATATGCAACTTCAGCTCTGAGAATAGCGTCGCTGAAGTCGATGTATTTAGGTCTTCACGGCGCTGAGTCGACTGCTGCTGCTCCCCCATCGACTCTGCTTGTGCCTCTTGCAGCGGTGGAATACTGAGTCGACAGGAGAGCACTCGGGGATCGATTTATCACGTCTGGACTAGACGCGATGTGGAAACAGGGTTAAAGGATTTAAATATAGGCTTCTCAGTTTTAAGAAACAGAGCAACTGTCATGCTAAGTCTTAGCCTAATATCGCAAGACCTGTAGAATAAGGGCTCACGTCAGAAGCGAGTAAGAGACAGCAGAGTAGAGTCAGCGTGACCCAGCCTTGAGATAGCGATGTTTTGAGAACAGAAGTGAGAAAATACAGGAATGGGCAGGACATAATATAAACAAACGGCAGATGTTTTTAATTAATGCATGCCATTAAAATGTATAAATGCTTGTGTGATATTGTTTGTACTTTGGAGAAACTGAGGCAGAGAGACTCTCTGTATTCTTCCCTTGCAATTGCTTTAATAAAGCTGTCTCTGATTTTGTTGCTTCCAACCTGAGAGTGGATATTGTTTCTTCCACAGCGATAAATCGACCCCTGATAGATCGATCATTACCTGCCAATCCGTCGGGTAGTGTAGACCTGCCCCCAGCAATAACAGGGAGGAAAACAGGAAAGAAACAGGGTGATATTTTTAAACTCTTTGTAAGGTGCTCAGCTGCCACACTGATGAGTGATACACAAAGAGAGGGAGCTGTCTGAGCCGCAGGACTTGGAGATATTGAGCCACAGCTTTAGCTGGTATACGTCAGCACATGGTCACTGACCTCGATGGAGCTACACCAATTGGTGATCTTGCCCACTCTGATTTGAATGGCATAATGCCTCAACTGGTGCTGAGGGAAGTGTCCTGGGCAAAAGACTTTTGCTGCATCTTGGAAGATGTAGACAGCATTGCCCCATTATAGGTCAGCTGGTTCATGGGCTGTAAGGAAGCACAGTTCCCTACCTCAGCCCACTAGATACAGACCTCTCAGAGCAGGACCAGCCATCCTGTGCCCTGCAGCCAAATTATGGCTGTGCCTTGGGTGGATTGCCATAATTTGGCTGCAGGGCGCAGGATGGCTAGTCCTGCTCTGAGAGGGCAGAGGGTTTCTTGTGGCCTTTCCCCCTTTCTAATGCTCCTGTGCAAGTCCAGCCACTGTTTGACCCTAAAGTTCTAAAGCCAAAATAAAAATTCCAACCTTCAGAATAAAAGAAAAAGCAGGATTTCAGATGCAGTTTTAAAGCCTTTTGAATGTTTCAATTGAGTCTAAACAATATCTGCCTTTCCATTGCTTTTTAATGCTTCAACAGCTTTTTCCATCACGGTGTCTCCAAGGGTACGTCTACACTTACCGGAGGGTCCGGCGGCAGGCAATCGATGTTCTGGGATCGATTTATCGCATCTGGTTTAGATGCAATGGATCGATCCCAGAAGTGCTCGCCGTCGACGCCGGTACTCCAGCTCGGCAAGAGGAGTACGCGGCATTGACGGGGGAGCCTCCCTGCCGCGTCTGGACCCGCGGTAAGTTCGGACTAAGGTACTTTGAATTCAGCTACGTTATTAACGTACCTGAATTTGCGCACCTTAGTCCGAAGTGGGGGGTTAGTGGGGACCAGGCCCAAGATAAGGCATGTGGGAGAAAACCATCTTTCAACAATTCCAACCGTTTACCAATTCCACACTAATGCACTTGGAAATGAGGCATAGAGGAGTTTGTTCTGTTCCCTCTGCAATGCTAACACTCTATGCACACATCAACTCCAAAATATTAATGTTCAGATGTGCACATACTACAGTCCCATTTTTCTGTTTGAAAAATAAAAATGATCTTATTATTCTGTTCAAAAACTTCACCATCAAGCCTAGCAGCTGGATTGAGAGGTAACTCTCTTGATGTATAAGGTATTAGGCAGACATATCCAGAGAAGTAGAGAAAAGAATACTATATTCCCCCTTAGCATCTATTTATAGCAGCCATGCTATCTCGCAGAAAATGAGAAACCAAATAGGTAGCAACTTTCTATGTACAGTAACTCCTCGCTTAACGTTGTAGTTATGTTCCTGAAAAATGCGACTTTAAGTGAAATGATGTTAAGTGAATCCAATTTCCCCATAAGAATGAATGTAAATGGGGGGGGGGTTAGGTTCCAGGGAAATTTTTTTTGCCATACTGTACAGTACTTTAGTTGGGAGGTGCCCCCGCCTTACTCCACACAGGCACAGCCCACTGGCACTGGAGACAATGAGGCAGGCAAGGAGGCTGAAGGTGCTGTAGGCTAGGAGAAGAACCTTGTGCAGCAGCAGCAGTTTCCCCTATCTGCAAGCAGCAGGGGCAGGGGGCTCAACCCTCGGCCTGCTCATGCCACCCCTTCCCCAAAGCCCCCACCCTTAACCTG